ATGAGTTTTTATCCAATAATGTTGGAAGGATAAGCAATAAAGAAGAATTGAAAATTTTTTTAGATGAATTATTATGCAGTAAATGTAAATAAATACCTTTTAATCCAATAATTTGTTAAACATGCTAGTTAATGTATTGTCAAAAGTGTAATGAGCAATTGTAATTCATAAATTAAATGATTATAGGAAACTTGAAGATTCTAATTTATTTTAATAATGTTGTAAAAAGGAAACTTAACTTAATTAGGTAAAAATTGTACCTGAAGCATTAAATAGGCTTCTAAAGAAGATTAAATTTTATTGCAAAAATAAAGTAATATAATAGAAATAGAATAGAAATTGGGTTGTAATAGTATTGAAGGTTACACTGATATTCAAAATCATGAAATGAATTAGTGTGATTTTTCTTATAAAGCATGTACACATATAGGATGCGATATGAATATTTATAAGAAGGATTTAAATAAACATAAAGATCGAGAATGCCAATTTAGATTTGTCAAATGTAAATTCTGCAGAACTATGCATCGATATTTATTATTAGATCTTCATGTAAAAATTAAAATTTATTAAATAGCATAGTGAATGTGATTTAAAGCCCACTCCATGTAAATGGTGTTCTGTTTTATATGTGAGAAAGGTAATATAAGATCATGAATAAAATTGTGATCATAGAGATTACTTTTGTGATAGTTGTAAGCAAAATATGAAATTTTATAAATATGCTTCACATTTAGGATATTAATGTCAAAAAAAATAAAGAAACTTCTATTAAAGGAGTTTCTATAAATAAAAAATGAAAAGACAACAATTAGAGTAATAATAAAAGGAAAAGTAACATTAAATAGACAATTTAAAAGAATTATTGATTGAATTGGGTGTTAATCCAAAATTTTTTGAAGAATAAAGAAATGCTCTTGGTATTTAATACGAAATTTAATATTCTTGGTGAATAAAAGTAAATAGATATAATAGATAGAATTGATATTATATATTAGAATGATAAATAAAATAAAATTTATAAAGGTTTTCTTTTTTCTTATTGTATTTTATAGAAAACAAAGAAAAAATAATAGTATTACTAAATTTTTAGTTTTAGGATTAAAAATATAAAAATTATACTATAAATTCTAATATTAATAATAAAGTTGTTAATTAAGTAAAATGCAGTTAAATAATTAAATGGATGCGATATTCTAGCAAGAAAAGGAATAAATTTTATAAGATTTTGAAGCTAAACTTCGTCGATAACAATTACAAGTTCAAAGCAAATAATATTAAGATGGAAGTGAGTATTTAGGTGAACTCAATAATGAGCTCAGATGGGGTTTAGGAGTATACTATTATTTCACAGGAGATGTATATGCAGGATAATGGGCTAATGATTTATTTGATGGTGATGGGACATATATATTTGCAAGTGGAGAAAGATATTAAGGTTAATTGAAAGAGGGTAAAAAACATGGTTTTGGTACCTATTACTATTTGAATGGAAATAGTTATACTGGTAATTGGGCCAACGATAAGAAGTAGGGAAGGGGAGTATATGTATACGCATAAACCAATGAGAAATATGATGGGGAATGGAATAATGGTTTGAGATAAGGTTATGGAACTTTTTAATATTAATGTGGAGTATATGAAGGAGAATTCAATAATAATTTAAAAGAAGGCAAAGGAGTCTTAAAGTATAAAAGCGGAGCACTTTTAGATGGAGAATGGAAGAAGGATAAAGTAGAAGGAGAAGCTAAATTGACTTTACCAAATGGTGATTATTATAAAGGAACTTGGGTTGGAAGTCATATGAATGGATTTGGTAGATACTAATATTAAAGTGGAGGATATTATGAAGGTTGGTGGAAATAGGATTAATTTCATGGAGAAGGTATGTTGACTTATGAAAATGGAGATATATATAGAGGAGAGTTTTAAAATGGTCTAAAACATGGAAAAGGAATATATTTACATTAAAATGGTGATCAATATGAAGGAGAGTTTAAAAATGATATGAGAGAAGGAACAGGAGTACTTAGGATGAAAAATGGAGATAGATATGAAGGAGAATGGTCAAGTTCTTTAAAGGATGGAAAAGGAGTTTACTATTTTGCTAATGGAGATAGATTTGAAGTATATTATTCTCTATAAAATTTTAGGGAACCTTTGTAGGAGGAAAAAGATCTGGCCATGGAATTATGTATTGGTCAGAAAAATCATCTGTTAGTGGTTTTTGGGTAGATGATATAATGAATGGTTAAGGAATTATAATCAAAGAAAATGGAGATAAAATGTAAGTCTAATTCAAAAACAATAAATTAGTTGCATGAATTTATTAATATCTAATTATACTACTTATTTATATTTTTAGTTAATTCATACTTACTAAGATGCGAATTGATTAAAATCATCGCAAGAAATCCTTTCTTATTTTAAAGCTATTTCATTTTCTAATATTTAGGACAAATCTGAACCTAATAATTACAATAATCTTTAATTCAAAGTCAATAACTGAAATTCTACATTTGTATCTTGTTTCTAAATAGCTTAATAAGAATTCACTAAATCAGTAAACTACTTATATAATGCAATATCTTCAGAATTTGCATTAATATCTCCAACAATAATTCTAGTTTATTATTAATAGAAATACCTTGTTCTCCTTCTCATTTATGAATCTTAGTATAAGGCAATAACAGGTTTTTAACTGAAATTGAAAATACCAATTTGATTACTATCTAGTAGGATTTTTTTAAATTTCTATATTTCATGTAATTATTTAAGTATATACTCTATATCTAATTCTTTATTAACTTGATTACTAAAAATTAAATTTAGAATATACATAGCCTTCTCTACAACAATTCCATCATCATTTTTCAAACAATCAAATGGTAAGAATGAACCAATTAACATTCTTAGACTAATCTTTACTTTATGTTTTTTTTTCATATAGAAACAAAATTGATCGAAGAATTTAGATATTTAATTTTTCATTTAAGATATCATAGGTTTATCAGGAACTGTTTAATTTGTATGAAGGATTTTCTTTTGAGTTATTTGATTATCACCTTATTCATCTTCAACTCCTTCCTATTTATAATAAAGAGTTATTACATTTTATTTATCTAAATTTAGGCGAATATCTGGAGATTGACCTATAGATTCAATTTTTCTATTTGATGTTTTTCTCTACATTATTATTCTTTACTAAGCTTTAGTTATGATATTTGATAGATGAATAGAATTTTAATTGGTTTTATTTTAATTCATTTCAAATTCATAAAGATCGTTAGCCATAGAAATTTTTAAATGTTCACGATTATAAATGGATACAAAGATTCCTACAATTACAATCATAAACTAACTAAATCCTCCTAGATAACTTAATAATTCATCTAATCTCATAAAATCTCTTTGAACCATATATTTGTAAGGACTTCTATTAAAATAAAAAGCTCCATGTTAATTTTGAGTTTAAGCATTAACAGAAATTTACTCTCTTTAATCTCCATATTCTCTGTAAGGGAACGTTTCTTTTTCAATATCAGGATACATTAAGATGCCTCTATCAGAGTTTATTTCTTTGGAACGAAAAAAAATATCAGATTAAATAAACATCGTATTTGGAACAAATGAATAAAAGGTATCAGTCGACAGAAACGGTTGTATATAATCTCTTGCTTTTTATGGATTGATGAGCTTATTTTTAATTATAGTTTTACATAATTAGTTTGGTATATCTAAAACCTAAAACTTCCTTATGATTAAACACTTTTATTAATTTATTCAGGAGATTTACAAATGGGTTTCCAAGATAAAGTACTTTCAGAATTGTTTATGCAATTCCTAACTGAAAACTTTAAAAAGTAGTAATCAGTACCTAAACAAATAATTAATTATAATTTACTTGACCATTTACCTCCAACAGTCATATTCAAAGAGTTTGCATTGTTTAAATTTGGACACAAAAAATTAGATAAATTTAACTTATTGAATTGCTCTTCAAAATTTATATTGTATCTATCAAATATATATGAGAAATGACTTTATGTGCATTATATTAAGTCTATAAATTATGATGGATATTTATAAAATGTTCCGTTATCATATCTCTAGTAATGACGTTGTTCTAGAGTGACATTAAAAAATGGATTATTAATGAAGTCTTCTTACTCAATTTATATAGCAAACATAAATGTTGATGGATCTAATATAAGAGATTATGGATCATTTTCAAAAACTAATGAATCATTTGAAGTCACTGTTGTCATGTCAAAAAAGCTGATGATGTTCGAGTAAAAGAAACTAATAATTGTACCAATCATGCACATAGACAAAAACCCTCCAAAACTTGTTTAATACTTTTCTCTTTATCGAAAACTCAAGCTAATTGATTAACCAAAAAGATCCACCTGCTTAAGAATTTCTTGGATTTAATTTTTCATAATATTTATAAACTTAATCACATTTTGAAATGAATTTAAGTTAATCAGAACTCCTTTAATTTATTTATAATTCTCAAACATGATTTCTCTGTAACTGCTCCTCTTAAATAAAATAAAAACTTTTAATTAGCTGGATAATTCATTTATTCCCAAATATATCCAGCTTCATTAAAATCAATTTTATTTATATCAATTAAGTTCACCAATTCATCTATCATGCTAAACTTTTATAAAATACATACTTTTCATATTTTCCTAGTGTTCTATAAAATATAGGTGCCACTAATACAGGTGCTATTTAAAAATGTTGAAATGACCAAATTAAGAATTCACACTAATATTAATTGAACACTTTTGGAAACAAGTAAAAATCTCCATTTAAATGTCTCTATATTTCAAATTGATAGTCTTCTTTAACTCTTCTACTAATTATAATGGTCTATTATTTCCAAAAATTCAAAGTTTAAATTCCATTAATACTTGTTAATAAAATTTTAAATTGGGAACTCCAAAATTAATTTTTAATTGGAAGTTTTTTTAGAAACATCATTGTTTAGATTTCATCTGTAGTATATTCATATAATGATAATGCTAAACCACCTAATAAAAATTGTTATTATTTTCTCTCAGGAATATTGTATAGTCTAGCATACTTATTGTATAAAACGTAATTTTCAGGATAATTTTAATCTCTTAATTATTTTTACTCATTCGATTATCCATACCCATATTTAATAAACTCAAAATAAGAAATTCTGTTACATCTTCAAGTATTATTTAATTTTATTATTCGGTAAAATTTTATCGATTTTAGTACATAAAGTCCCAAACCCCTGGTGATTAAAGATTGAATGCTCTAATCATTTCATAAATTTTGTCTTTTTCAACTTGATCCAAATGAGAAATTTTATCAATAAAAAGAGCACAGAATGATGTTATTGTATTTTTTTATTTAAAATCATGTGAGGAAAATAATTCTTTAAAGATATTTAAATGTAAATCCCAATCGAATTTGGCTATGTTATTTTTTTCTAATTTATTTCCAATTCTTAAGATTGTAATATATTATTGCACTGAAGAAATAATTAAATTTTATTACTTGCTAATTAAGTCATACCATTTTTATAGATTTAAATAGATTATTCAAATTCTTTTATGGTTCTATTTAAGAAAGATTAATCAAAAGTGGATCCTAGATGGTAATAAGCTTAAAAGATATCGGCATAACAATGAGATGGAGATTTCTTTTTTTAAGTAATAACATAATCAAAAAGGTCAGGAAATGCATACAATGGTTTTTAATGCAGGGTATGAAGTTCAGCAAAATATCTAAATAAAATTTTGTTCTACTAATAACCTAAAAGATTTAAGTAAAATTTAGACTTAAGATTACTTTATAGTTATTTAATTTAGGACTTAAATCAGTTAATGATCATCATTTGTGAGTTAAAATTTTTTTGTCAAAGCTCTAAGTAATCTTACATATTATTCTCCTGGAAGAGTTTAGTTGATTTTAATATGTGTTAAAATTTGATCTTAAAATTTTAAAGTATCACTTCTTAATAGAGTTAAATTATAATATGTATCACATAAGACATTAATAGGATGTAGTAATAAATTGTTAGCTTAATTAATTAAGAATTATCGAACAGGTTCTAATTTAGAATCAAAACCTAAATGATCAAAGATATGAGAAAATGAATCTAGACCACATTAAAGCCCTAAAATAGATAATATAAAATATAAACCATAATTATCAAGTTGAGAATGTGATTGTGGGAGTCTTTGTAATATTTGATTATATTCTAGCGATTTGATAGTTTTATCTATGTTACGATTGACGTAATTTAATTCTTTAATAGATAAGGATAATCTGCTTAACATAGAATTTATGTCTTTCAGTTGTGTAGAAAATGGATATTTAGATATGAATGATAACATTTTAATAATAATTTAATGTTTTATAATCTTCCAAGAACACCATATATAAAAACAAGAGTGCAGCCAAGAGTATTATATAATGGATTTGAGAAGTACAAGTAAGAAACTATAGAAGCACAAAAATAGTAAAGGTTTAGAATACATATGAATATTATCATTATTTATAGAAGAAAAAGGAGTATTCAGATTAATAAAAGGAGTTATTGGAAGGATTAAAAATAGATAATGATGATATGAAGAAATTATCATATTCAGTAAAATGTTTCGGAGTGAGTAATAAAGAAGGAAAATTCGGAGTTTAAAGCTAGCGAAAATTTATGGGGGGATCATTCGAATCTTAATCACCTTATGAGGTGAATATTTAAAGTGAAAGAATATCTTATCCTTTCAAGTCAAAACGCCTAATTACAAGTAGAAGATAATAAAGAGACAAATAGAAACCCCTCTCAGAAATTATTAAATTACCAGATAGACCCGAAACAGTCAGAACAGAATAAGTCTCAAATGTCGATAGAATTGTTAAGAAATCCCGCTTAAAGTTTAGACAATAACATTCTCAACCATAGCCCTAGATAGCATTCGATAAAACAAAAGCTAAGTATCAATCTTATAGTCGTCTTCTCTCAGAAGCCCATAGTCATGAAAGCTTTTATAAAATACTTAGTCCTTGATTTGTATTCTTATATAATATTTATTTTATCATTTTTAATATTTTTTTATGATCCATTTATTTCTTATATCTGTATTTCATTTAAAAAATTACAAATTACATCTTTTATTTCAATCAATTTCTATATTTATTCCCCAATACTTATTTTTTAATCATTATTAACATCATTTAATAAATATATGATTCATTAAGATCTTATATATTTATTTATTGAACAATCTTATCTTTTTTTTATATCCCCTTATTCTAAATACAACTATTAAATTTCTTTTCTTAAATTAATTTCATTTAAATCATCTTTAAAAATCTTATTACCTTTATCTCCTTTCTCAATAATAAATTTTATTCGAAATCTAAATCAATTTAAAATAATATTCTAAAAACACTGCAGTTTGCTAATTAAATTTGAATTTATCATCTTTTTAACATCAACTACCTAGATATATATGTAAATTTTATACTTTATTTATTATTAAAAATTCAAAATGGTATTGTAATCCATCATAATTTTATATTTTAAATGAACAATATAGAAAAAACATTTATCATTAATTGAATCATTGTAGTAATGATTTTCATAAATAATTGAAATGCAATGAGAATAATAATCTAAAAGTATATTATTTCATAGTTTTAATTAAATATAATGATCGAAAAAAAATAAGAAGAAGTGAATTTTTTGATTATTTTATAGAAATTAAATCATGTGTTATACATCACTTAACAATGATATTTTATGCAAGAAGCTAAATGATACATAATGTAATTGTGATCACTTACTAATTCTATATGTTTAATATCATAATAAATATTTTTATCTTTTTGTGCTACAAGAATACATTTAACTAATTTAAGTTGCTTAAGTGTAGTTATTTAATTTCTTTCAAATATTGTTTTTTATATATCTTGACCTTCATATTATGTATAGTTTGCAATTATTGATTAACCTCCAAAGAGATCTAAAAGAATAAATGAAAGTTGGAAAAGTCCTCTTTTAGAGATAGTTGGTTAAACATTTTGAACTTAAGCCACTACACACACAAGATCTACTTTATGTCCAAAGTAATTTGGATAATCATGCTATTTGAGGCTTTTGAACATCTTTAGGGTCATTGGAACTATGTTAGAACTCTATTTGCCTATGATGGACTATGGTTTGTTTTGGCTCATACCTCCAGTGTATAGTAATGATTCTCCATTTACATATTAATTAAAATAATGGAAATTCAGTTCACAGATGAAAAATTCGAATATCATTGTAGTGATTAAGTCTATGAAAATTTAGGAGTGAAAGATGATCCTACTAAAGTTAAAGAATACTTCATTATCTTAATGAGTGACATCATTAAAGATAGAGAAGTTAAAATTGAACAACTCACTAATCAATAAGAGTATTTGGTATAAGTTGGTAATGGTGAATGCTATTTAATATAACAAAATAGAATTTATAAATGCAACTCATTTACAACTTTAAAATCTAAATTCTTGTAAAATTGCTCCACATCATTAAGTAATATGATCGATCTAACATTAAATAAATGAGAATAAGTGATTAGTATGAGTGATTTATTATAAATAAAACTATTTTCAAAATTTGTTTTTCTAATCACTTCATTACTTCATTGATACATCTTTATTAACTTATTATAATCATATTAATTTATTA